AGCTCTCATGTTGAATCTTAGCTCTCTAGACTTATTCGTCCTACGTATCTGCAACTTTGTACCTTTGGCCAACATCCCCCCGTTTCCTCCGCCCCCACCCCTGCCCCCTCCCTGGTGACTGTCATTTTATTCTCTATGTATTCAACTTTTTAAAAATTTCAGATGTGAGATCACGCAGTATTTGTCTTCCTCTGGCGTATTTCACCTTGCATAAAGTCTTCCAAGTTTATTGTCCTTTTTCTTTGAGGAATTCCAAAAATGAAATAATTTCATAATCAAATGATTTATCTTGAATTTGAAAGTCTGGGAATAGACAAAGCTTGTTACCCAGCGGGAAAAAGGCAGATCTGGGGTCTGAAATACAACCTCTACTCAAGCACATTTTTCTCTTCTAAATAATAAACTCCTTTTTGAGCAATTGTGTTTGTTTACAATGTATTAAAATGTAAAATGTTTCTTCTCATTTCTCTTAAAAAAAATATCTTATTTGTGTAAGGCAGGAAATGCCCTGACTAGCTTAATCCTTTCTTCGTAACTTGGAAGGTTCTCTTCCAGGCCCAACAGGGAAAGACCAGACCCTCCTGGCTGACGGTTCTCCTCGCTTGCTAGAGAGGACGTGCCTGGAACCCGAGCTGCGTGCAAACGGCCACCCGAACTTCGCCCCACTCCTCCGACACGGTCAGAATAGGATGTCGCCGCTAAACCGCCCTGTCCTGATAAAACACCCTGGGCGGGGGCTGTGTGCAGAAGCCTCCCGGGATGCAGAGGCCCCTGTGGAGTGTCGCTGACGAACACCTTCAGGTTCTCTGTGTTTTGTCTGCAGGACTGGACCCGGGGGCTCCATCACAGGGAGGGGCAGAACCCCTCCCAAGGAGTTCCCTGCCCTCTTGCTGGGGCTTGCTGTGCGGGCAGGGCCTCCCTGCTGTTTTAACTGAAAGGAGAATGCCTGCCCGATGGCTCTTGATGTGGGGTTTCTGAAGAGGTTCGCTTACCTTACTTACTAATTAAAGGAAGCCACGTTTTCCCCTCCTGCTCTCTGCAGCATACCACCGAGGGCTACCTGATAGTCGCCCGCAGATTGGGTTACGCGGCCGCCCGCGATAATGCCATTTGCTGCGATGATTGAGTCGACAAGGCTGAGTGACTTGGGGAAAATATTTCCCAGTTGGACTAACCCGTTGGCGGCCTGCTTCCCACCACGCTTGTTTTTATAATGAAAAAGGAAATTATTTCTGCTTTTAACGATGGGAGATCCAGAAATGGTGAGTACAGTGGGTGTGGGGAGAGAAGACTCTTCTAACAGATGCGTCTCAACGCTCCTTGGCGCCGGCGGCCGGCCAGCCAAGGCCTGTTCGGGAGGGGATGTTCTCCCCCAGGTTCCATCTTCCCAAAAGCGGTTTTCCATTTATCCTCATTCTTTTCATGAAGATAACCTACATGACTTGCCGCATGCGGATAGTCAGCTAAATGTTAGCCAGAATCAAAGCCCAAAATGGCTCCATGTGGCCTTGTTAGTTCCCTGAGACAGTCTTCAAAGCTATTCTTGTGGTTGAAATGAAATAAACACTTTTAGCACAAAACTCTTGCCTAGGTTTTACTCTGACTGTGTGAAGCAAAGTTTGTTTTCAATGGCTTAGCAGTTTCCTTTGGAATTGCAAACATTACGACAGGTAGCCGTACAGCAAATAAAAGTGGGTGGTCTAAGTGTCTATGTTAATATGCTCGTTGGAGCCTCTGCAGGGGTTAGCACAGCTTCCTAGAGAACCACGCCTGAGATCCGGGAGGGTGAATGGAATTTAACTGGGAACATTCTGCTGTTTCCTTTCTCCCTCCGCCCTCTCAGGGTTACAGGGAATGACTTGGGAAGGCCTCTGTCCTCGGTGGCGTTGGGATGGGTGGAATTGGCTCATGGGAAACAGAGCACAGAGCCGCAGTGTGGCTCTGGGGCCAGTCAGCGGTCCCCAGCCACTCCTCTCTTCGCGGTGTTGGGGGAGGACCGGGCGCCCGGACGGCTCGGATACTTTCATCCTGAATTAGGTCATGCCCACGTGAGCCAGGAAAGGGCTGTGTTTGTGGGAAGCTTCTAATACCGTGGCCGAGGGTCGGTTCCCTGGTGCCATCCACAATTCTGGGACTCGGACATGATGTAAGTATCAGTACTGCCTATGCTATGGTGGGTGTACCACGTGTGCAGACAAAGAGTGGCGTTTACGTGGGACAGATAAAAACATTTGCAAAAAAGAGATGGAAATAGCTTCGAAAGTAATTTTATCTTCTGAGGAATAATGATACTGTACCTTCTAAATGGCAAACGCATCTCTCCAAAGCTATGCTATTCGGATGATTTTAAGATTGATTGGACAAAGAGAAAGTCATTGTCTCGGCGGAATTAAGTTCTTGCTTTTTCATTAACTCCAGAAGCTTTTCTGTTATCTGCTGCAGTTCAGACAAAAACGCGCTCTCACTAGAAGAGTTTTTGATTAATTGGTCTGTGCCGAATGCACTTTGCGTGGATTGTCGAGTTTCAGAGATTTAAAATACGGCAACGGTGCATCTGACGCCAAAACCGTAAATGGGAAACAAATGCTTTCTGTTCTTCCTCTGCCGAGGAGCTGGAGGTGGAGCCGAACCTCAGAGGTCCTGAGATAGTCACCATGGGGGAAAGCAACACGCCTGCGGCTGAAGCCCCCTTCTCCTTCCGATCGCTTTTCGGCCTTGACGATTTGAAAATAAGTCCGGCTGTGCCAGGTAGGTGGAGCCAGGAGGGACCCTGTGATTTCTGCCCGACCCCCATCTAGATGACGATCGTGGCTGAGTGTCCCTGTGGGGGAACCACCTCCCCAGATGTTCTCACACCCGCAGGCGGGACACCTGCACTCCCTTACTGTGTCGAATCTCAGGGAGGAGGCACCATGGAGAAGCAATGGTTTTGCTCAGCCCTTGCTAACTGCCCGAAGGCAGCTGTTTTATTCCCCGGTTGGAGGTGTTCAGAGCTTGGGGTTCCACAGTCTCCCTGGTAAATCCCGGAGCAGGTCAGACCCTGGTCAGGAAAACTCTGAGCCCTCCAGGAAGTCCTGAGGAGCAGTGGCCACCAATCCTTCCAGAAAACTTAAAAAACTGCCACGGAAGGTATCAGAGGCCTAGATTAGAATCCGACAGCAGAAGACGGAGTTGTTCCTGGCAACTAAAGGAAGGAAAGTTGTTTTTGTAAATAAGTCATGAGTGCTTGGTAAAAACAGTGGGCTCCACAGCAACCTGTGCGCTGGGATCTTTTGGGCTGGACCTCACCCAGACTGGTTGCAGTGAGCCGTGGGCTTGCTGGTCCCAGAGCTCAGGGCTTGGGTGCAGGCGGAATGCTGGCCCCGCGGCTCAGGGCAGGGACACCATGGCGGCTCCGCTGAGGCTCCAGAGAGCACGGGCCAGGGGCCACCGTAACAATTTCTTTTAACCACCTGGGCAATTGACGTGGGGGAGGTTTGGAAAGGCTGGGAGGTGGGAGAGAGGTTTCAAGTAAGTGAAAAGATACATAATTTTAAAATATGGCTCAAAATTAGCATCCATGTAAATGAAAGAAAAAAATTTCAGGCATCATCTGACTCCCCAAACCTACCTGGTTTTTATGTCTGATCATTCTCTTCCCGTCTTTGCCTATACGAGTAGTTTCATGCTCGGTGCAGACATAGACAAGCGTTTTTTCGTGTGCTGTTTGGCCTTTATAAATATCTATTTTTATGGCAGCACAAACATCCCATCAAGTAAATGTGTAATTTGATCATCGTTTGAACTCTAATTGTCTCTATTGTTTTTATAAGATAAATGACATGGATTTGAATAGTGATATACATATTCCTTTCCCCTCATTTTTTATTACTTCTGTAAAATTAAGTCCTAATAGTGGGAAGGAGCAAAACTTCCTTTTAAATAAAGCAATGTGTTGTTCATTAGAGAAATTTAGAAAATACAGTTAATAGAAGAGATTTTTAAAAATTACCCACAATCACACCGTTACTCAGGGATAACCCTTCTAGTACTTTATTATTGGATTTCTTGCCTTTTTCTATCTATATATCTACTTTCCCTTTGGAAGCAACATACGCTATTTGTACTGTGTTTTGAGGCTTTTTAAAAAATTAACAAAATCATGTTCATCTTTCCATGATGTTAAATAATTACATATTTTTAGATGTTGGTAAACTATGGCCCATGGGTCAAGCTGTTGCAGATCAAGCTGTACGGAAATACGGACACCTGTTTGTCCGCGTGCTGTCTGCAGCTGCTTTCCGCCATAGCAGCAGAGCTGAGCAGTTGGGACAGACATACGGCCGCAAATGTAAAGTTCAAGTTGAGCATTACTAATCCATTCGACGTTTGAAATGCTCCAAAACCTGAAACTTTTTGAGCTCTGGCACGACTCAGAGGAAGGCTCACGGGGCATTTCAGATTTCGGACTTTTGGGCCAGGAATGCTGAACCAGTGAATAAAATGCAAATATTTCAAAGTCTGAAAAAATCCTAAATTCAAAACACTTCTGGCCCCAAGCGTTTCTAATAAGGGACACTCAACCTGTGTGTGCTATCTGGTCCTTCACAGAACGGTCGGCCCACCCCTTCCCCGTATCACGCTAAGTGTTGCTGCAGGTGTGGCCCGCACCCGTGCACCATGCGTTGTGCCGCCAGTCCTCTTTTGCCGGTCACTTGGGCTGTTTCCTCTGCATCAATATTGTAAAGGCCACCCTTCCAAGTGTCCTCGTAGGTAGGAATTTGTGTACATCTATGATGACATTTTAGGGTAAATTCCTAGAAGTGGAATTGGTAGGCAGAAAATTTCATGTTTCCAAGCTTGCTGGTACATAGCTCCAATTGCACACGACCAGGACGTTTACGCGGTTACACCCCCGTGCGCTGTAGGTGGAGGGTCCGTTTCCTTGCGCTTTGGAGGAGCCGTGGCGAAGCTGGCATGTGGTTATGTCCACTTTGCGTGTTCGTCATTTCCAGAGAGGTCGAAAGTTCGAGCCCTGCGGGTTCATCACCGGCATTCCTTCCCTGCGGACCTGCTGTGCACGTCCCTTTGATCCCAGCATGCCCCGGGGCGCAGCGGTGAGGGGCTGCAGCGCCCGGGGCAGCCTGATGGATGAGCAAAAGTGAACTGCTACAAAGTTCCCAATTAAACGCCAATGTTTGATTCTATAATTTGGAGTCACTTCCTAAATCTAACTTAGATTCAGAACAGCTGAGCGAGAAAAGGTCGTTCTCGGGGATCCTGCTAATGTTTAAGCGTGAGGTGGAGGGCGCCGTCTCCACGGAGAACTGTGGCTTTGCACAGTCTCCTGGGATGGGGTGTGCGGGGGCGGGGGCGGGGAAGGGAGGCCTCTCTGCTGACGCTGGACTGCAGGAGGGCTGTCCTGAAAGGAATCGGCCTCTGACCCTGAGTTAAAACAACCTTCATTATCATGGTGTCATTCATTCATTCATTCATTCATCCGTCTAACATTCTTGTGCAGGGCTGCTGGGTGCCCCGTGCTGTTCCAGGTACTGAGGACGCAGCCTGCTCAGTCCTGAGGCGGAGTCGTCTCTCCTGCCTCGTCTCACCTCTGGTCCCCACGTCCTTATCCGTCTCCTTCTTCCCGTCCCCTCCTCCCTTCTTCTGCTCCGGCTCATCCCCTCCCTTTCCACTTCTTACCGTTTTCGTCCTCCGTTCTCCTTTTTAGGCAGCCTCACACGATATTGATCTTTTCGTAATCACAGCCTTGCTTGCCGGAGGGGAGCTGTGGGTTTCCAAAGACAGGTGGGAGAGATGAGGGAGAGTCTCAGCTCCGCGCGCCCCAGACCAGGGAGCGGCAGGTGCCAGCCTCTGTCCCCGGCAACCGCGTGGCCTTGGCAGCCTTGTCTTCCCTCCCCGGATCCTGCACTTCCTAATTTTTAATAAAGTTAACTTAGACATAGATGTATTTTCAGGCTTGACAAGATAATTTACGTTCTCCCTGGGAGGAAAGGGTAGCGGTGGGAATTCTCCTGGCCGCCCAGGGAGATTCGTTCTTCTGAGCATCTTACCACTCTTCACATACCGTTTTCCACCAAATCTGCCTGGCTCTGTGGGCAAGGACTGCGAAGGGTCTGAGGTGTTAGCCTCCTTGTGAGCTGCAGGTCAATCTGCCGCAGTTTCACGGATGCCGGCAGGAGACACGAGACTCCTGGGTCAGAGACGGAGGACTTTCCTATTCACGACACAGCAAGTGGTGCGAGTGTGCTGTTTGTGCCAGTTGTCCTGACCTCCCATGTGCCACCGAGGGCTGTGGAGCAGCCCACGCGTGTGTTGCACGTGCAGGCAGTTTGTACCGTAACTGAGTCACCCAGAATTAAGGGAGCCCTAACTTTTATAATGGGCTTTAGCAGACTTGTGTGGACCTTGCTCTGGAGGGAGACATTACAATTGTTAAACTGGACAGTAAACAAAGCTGCCTCTTGCTCTGGAGGGAGACACTATCTGTCTTCCTAGGCTGTTTCTCGAACACATCCTTGAAGAGATGATCTGGATCTAAGGTGGTCAGTTTCTCCCTCCCAAGACCTGCCAACATCCTGTCCTTGCGACCTCTCTGGGAGATCCCCGCACTCCCTCTGCCTGCCAGGACCCTGTGCAGGTTTGATGCCCTCCTCCGTGGGGACAGGTCCTTGCTTGGAAGTTGGAGTGCTACTTCCCCTCTGTGTCAGTGTCCTAGAGCTGCTGAAACAAAGTCCCCAAAACTGGGTGACTTAAAATAACAGGAATTTATTCTCTCTCCGTTCTGGGGGCCAGAAGTCTGAAACCCAAGGGTCGACAGGGTCACACTCCCTCCAAAACCTGCAGTGGACCCTTCTTGCTTCTTCTGGCGTCTGGCGGTTTGCCAGTGATCTTTGGCTTGTGGGTGCATCACCCCTATCGCCGCCCTCATCCTCACACGACTGTCTCCTCCCTGTGTCTCTTCTCATCATCTTCACTCTGTGCCTGTTTGTCTCCGTGTCCAAATTTCCACTTTTACAAGGACTCCAGTCACGTGGGATTGGAGCCCACCCTGGCAGCCTCATCTGAACTTGCTTACTCTGTAAGCACCCTCAATCCAGCTCCAAGCAAGACGATAATCTGAGGTCCTGGGAGTGTGGACTTCAGTATATCTTTTGTGGGGGCACTGTTCAACTCATAGCACCACCCCTAACCCAGGATGGGCAGAACCGGGTCAGAGGTGGGGAAGGAAGGACTGAACTTCTAGAGAATGTGCCTGTTGGCAGGTGGCCCTTCTCTACTTGAGACAACTTTTTTTGGGAGGAGACGTCTCTGCACAGAGCGGAGGGGGACGCACAGCTAAGTGTAAGTTTCATGTTACTCAAAGTCCGGGCGTGTGGCTTTCTGCTCTTCCCCCTTTCTTTGGTGTTCAGACGCAGATGAAGTCGCTGCGCAGATCCTGTCGCTGCTGCCGCTGAAGTTCTTCCCCATCATCGTCATCGGGATCATCGCGTTGATACTGGCACTGGCCATCGGTCTGGGCAGTGAGGACCATTCATTATTCAGCAGGCTCTCAAATGCCCCCTGAAATGGTTAAACTTTCACAAGCGTCCCCTCGCCCCAGCGTTTTGCTGCCGCCCAGCCGTAATTACCGGGGGCAAACGTCCTGTGGTTCGCTGACCTTGAGTTTTCTGTGCTTGCGTGAGGGCAAAGCCAGCACGGGGCCCGGCAGAGGCTGCTGGCCATGCTAGAAGCTTGGTCACCAGGGAACCTGCCCGGTTAGAAGCGTCCAAAGGCAGCTGATGAAACAGAATCCCAAGGGTAGGAAGGGGGGCACTGGGCTGGGAAGGAGACAAAGAGGCCCATTTATGGGGCGCCAGGTGCACCAGCTATTGTTATGATAAGGTGCATGTGGCTTTTGAGAAAGTGGGTCATTTGGACGGAGGGTCTCTAACAGGCAGCAACTTCTCTTTCAAATAACTGGACCACAGATGAGTTTAATTTGCCACCCGTGTGGCTGTGTGGCCCACAGTTCACTCGCTTCCTGCCCAGGGTTGGAGCAAACAGGGTGGCTGGGCTGTGCTCTGTCAGGCTCCTCGCTGGGGTGGCTCAGTGGGTTGGCCCGCAGCCATAGAATTTCTCTCTTGACCCTAAGCCCTCCGGAGTCTAAATGCACCTTGAGTGTGGCTCCCGGGCCAGGCCACTTAGTAAGACAAAGTGGGGCACAGCGGCCCCACCCCCCGGAATTCAGAACAGAAACTGGGCTGAAGGAAACGGACGGCTGACCGGGGTGCCATTTCAGTACAGGTTTCATTATTAATGGGCACACTCACCGCCACGTGGCAGGTGGACAGTTGCTAGTGTTGACACTGAAACGCTCGCTAACATTTCTGTCCTCCTCCCCTTTGCTCAGTCCACTTCGACTGCTCCGGGAAGTACAGGTGTCGTTCATCTTTTAAGTGTATCGAACTGACAGCTCGATGCGACGGGGTCTCAGACTGCAGAGACGGGGAAGACGAGTACCGATGCGGTAAGGGCATGTCTCTAGGGGTAGGAGGGAGCAGCAGACCCAACCCTGAGCCTCCCGTCTGTGGGGTGGGTCCCAGACACTGCCATTGTCATGTCCTGTCCTCAGCTGGGATTCGACTGGCACTCACCCCAGGAGCTATGGGGCTGGGTGTCCGGGGGCGGGGAGGCCCTTACCTGGAGCGCAATTCTCTTGGGGAGATGACACGGCAATAAGGGGAGAGCTCCAGGAAGTCTCACGGGATCTAGACAGCAGGAGCTCTCCCTGCCCCGTGGCCCGTGGCTGCCGTGGACGGAGAGTGGGTCGGGTTCGGCAGAGGAGGGGCTTGAGCCGGCTGTGGAGAGACCTCCGCCGGCGGTCTCAGGGCTCCCCCACTGCTAACGGGCCTCTCTCCCTGTGCGTCGGCCAGTCCGGGTGAGCGGTCAGAGCGCCGTGCTCCAGGTGTTCGCAGCTGCTTCGTGGAGGACTGTGTGCTCCGATGACTGGAAAGGTCACTACACGAAAGTTGCCTGCGCCCAGCTGGGTTTTCCAAGGTAAGCTGCGGAGCGTGTCCCCCCCGGGGTGGGACACCGAGGGAGATAACGAGAGGGAAGACAACCACGGCTTAGCGGGCACCGCTGGGTGCTCTAACACGTCATCACGTCCATCCCCTGGCAACCCTGCGACGCTCACTATCCTCGTTTCGCAGATGAGCAAACCAGGGCCCAGACAGGCTAAGTGACTTGCTCGAGTCCCACGGGAGAGAGGTCATGTTGGGTGTTCTCGGCGCCAGGCCAGGACCCTCGAGGCAAACATGCAACACAGAGCTTTGAAGCTGAAAAATAAACCCTCTTGCTCCTCCCCCTACATTCTACAGAGTAGCTTTCCGGACACTGTCCGCGTGGTGCTGTGGTCACGTCGCGTCCATGCACACCTCCCCAGGAACCGCAAAGAACAAATTGTTAAAAGTCAGAAATTTAGTGAAAACACGACCATTGAAAACAGTTATTAGGCAACATGTAGGAGAAAGAACTATCGTAGTGGACTTTTCACTTTTCAGAATTTGGTGTTGCTATGTGATTGTTGGCACTGAAGTGACTCATTTTTGCCCAGATACTGTCCTTCTCCTTCCCTGGCTCCCTCCCTCCGACTTCCTGCGAATGCCGAGGGTCCCCTAACACCACCTGCACCTATGCGAGCTGTTGTGGGTCCCCTAACAACACCCACACTCCTTTTTGCTCTTGATCTGGAGTTCAAGGCCGGCGGGCCCTGCACCCTGCCTTGCTCCAAGGAAGCGCGTCACTGAGGCCACACTGCTCTGAGTCCGCCGAGTCGCAGTTTCGAGTTTGGTGCACCCTGTTCTCAGCTCTCTTTCTCCAAAGCTGGTGAAACCTGAAATGCCCCGCTGTGTCCCGAGACCTGCCTCTCTCACTCCAAGCCAACCTGGACTCAGAAATCAGCTGCAATTCAGGTTCAGCAAGAACAGCAAGAAGCATCACACAAATGCCTTCAAGAATGACGTAGACTTCACTTCTCAAAGACAAAGAGAAGTTTACTTCACAGACAGACAGACTTACAGACAGACTCACAGCCGGCCGAGAGCTTCCTCGTTAGGCATTTCTGCTCCCTGCCAACCCTCTCCTCAGAAGCATGGGCGTGGGAAAGGGGTCCCTTTCTCTTTCCTTCTCCGCCCTGCCCTGTCCTGGGGCACTGTCCACCCTCCCTGGGCGGATCCCGGGGCCTCTGCTCTGTTATGCAGAAAACTCAGCTCCACACCCTCCCCCCAGCAGACCCCGGCGAGGAACCCCGGCCTTGCCGGGCAGCATTCAGGGGCACCTTGCGGTGCGGCAGCTCTCAGATTGTCCTCCACCCCGGCCTGTTGGTAAAATATTCCTTCCTGTGTCCGCAATGCTCCTTCCTGGAGAAATCCAGGCAGTGCCATGTCTGCAGTCCACCACCTCCACGCCGCCCGCCTTCCACGCTGCAGGCGTGTTCCTTTCTTCCCCGCCTGAGGCTTCGTTTCCAAGAGTTACTTCTGCCTTCTGCTTTGTTTATTCTTCCTGCCTCACTCCTTAAAAATCCTTCTTTAATCCTCTCTGCTCTACCACATCCCGTGGCAGGTATCAGTGACTGAAGGGCTGCCCAGCCGGGTCGCTCGGGCTCGAATCCCAGTGCAGACTCAGCCAAGTTATGTAGCTTGTGCCTCGGTTTCCTCCCTGAGAAAATAGGGATGAAACTAGACCCTGCTTTGAAGGATCGTTGCGCGTTCCAATGATCTTGCGGGTGTGGGCCGAGCCTGGCGCGTGGAGCGCACCGTGAGCCCGCGGCTGCCGTTGTTGTCACTACCACCGAGGGACCTGGACAGCGAATCCTGGCCGTCCCAGCAACAGCCGGCTCTTTCTCGCGGGCGCCTGCGTGTCAGCGAGCTGACCGGCCCCGGGAGGGCTGTGGAGGTCGTCACCGCTGCCCTGACTGCGTTTCCCTCCAAAGGCAAAGTCGGCGAAACGTTTGTTCCATGCATGCATCCCCGTCAGCATTCGCGGTGACCTGCTGAAACCTGCTGACAAGCGGGCGCGGTAGCTGGTGACGCGGGCGACCGCACGTGCTTCGTCATTCCAGGAAGAAAGGGGAAAATGGCCATTTATTCACCACCTTCCATCTCGCGACTCTCTAAACATTTGATTTTTTTACAAAATTGCAGCTCCTGGCCGGGCGCGGTGGCTCATGCCTGTAATCCTAGCTCTCTGGGAGGCCGAGGCAGGCGGATTGTTTGAGCTCAGGAGTTCGAGACCAGCCTGAGCAAGAGCGAGACCCCGTCTCTACTAAAATAGAAAGAAATTAATCGGACAACTAAAAATATATAGAAAAAATTAGCCGGGCATGGTGGCACATGCCTGTAGTCCCAGCTACTCGGGAGGCTGAGGCAGGAGGATCGCTTGAGCCCAGGAGTTTGAGGTTGCTGTGAGCTAGGCTGATGCCACTCACTCTAGCCCGGGCAAAAGAGTGAGACTCTGTCTCAAAAAAAAAAAAAAAAAAAAAATTGCAGCTCCTCCACTGCCGCGCTGCAGCAGGGCCAGTTCCTGCCGTGTCGAACACCTACTGGGGCCTGGCGCCCTCCGAAGCGCCTCCTCGTGTATGTTCACCGTCCCCTGGGGGAACCCGGGCCAGCCCTGGGCAGACCGAGAGGCCCCCCATCCCTCCATCCATGTTCTTGGGGTGCATGGCATCCCCGCTTTGGGGCCCAGCTGACAGCACCGCACCCAGGTCTGCATCCGCTTCCTCTGGGACGCGCTTCAGGCCGTGCGAAGGTCATTTCAGCCAAATGAGTCAAGGCTGGGACCCGACCCATGAGCTCAGGAAACGGTCCCCCTTCTGCGTGGCTGCGGCCCAGGTGGGTGGGCAGGGCCGCGGTAGGGGCGGAAGGTGGAGCATCCCGGGCCGCACCAGGAGGGAATGCGGCCAAGGTGAGAGGACTTTATTCCACTGGCGAAGGGAGCCTCTGATGGTTTGAGGGGACAAGATGACATCCCCAGGTGTGATCCCCGTGCGTCAAAGAGTAAATTTAACGTGTGGGTCTGTGTGTCTGACGTGCTTGCAGCTACGTCAGTTCAGATAACCTCCGGGTGAGCTCGGTTGAGGAGCAGTTCCAGGAGGCCTTTGTGTCCATCAATCACCTCTTGCCAGATGACAAGGTGACGGCCTTGCACCACGCCGTGTATGTGAGGTAAGTCACCAGGCCACGCCGCCGTCTGCCCTGGTGTGGGTCACCTGCTGGATTTGCGAGGCCACGCGCAGCTCCACGTGGGCTCGAGGGGCATAGGAGTGTCATCTCGGGACACAGGGCAGTTGGCTGCCCTGGTTAGATGGGCGGATGCCCCAGGTGGGGGCTCGAGAACCTGCTCCCAACCCGGGCAAGTGTGGCCGGATGGGGAAAAGGAAGGAGCTCGGGTAGCAGAGGGACCGTGCTGCACGTGGTAAGTGTGGTCTCACGGCAGGCACCCCAGGATGTCTGGGGAGCGGAAGCAGCAAGCAGATGGGAGGGCGGGAAAGAGAAACGGAAATTAAGAAAAGTTTATTCTCCTTGTTTACTAAG